GGATGGAGAATAGTAGGTATAGTCCTTTTCTGTACTGTGTTGGCATCTCCAGATGTCATAGAGATCGTTGGAATGAAGAAATTGGTTGAAGGATTGTTTTGAAGATCTTGTTTTGGATGATTTGTCGAGAAGAGGGTTCCCGATAGTGTTAAAGTCTCCGCCGATGAGTAGTCTGCCTTTTCTGTGTTGATTTATGGTGGAGTTAAGTTTGTTGAAGAATTGGAGTTGATTGGTGTTAGGACCATAGACGTTCACCAATGTATATGTAGTATCATTGATTTTGCAGATCAATATGTGGTAGCAACCTTGTGATTCCGCTGTTGCCGAAATAAATTGGAATTGCAGGGAGTCTCTTATGGCTGTAATGACGCCATTTTTCTTTTTAGGATTCGTTGCCATATATACTGTGGAGAACTGAGAAATATTGAATTTAGGGATTTTGGATGAGGCGAAATGGGTCTCTTGTAGGAATACGATGTCAGGTTGAATGGAGCAGACTTCTCTCGAGAGCAGGGACCTTTTGAAGGGGGAGTTGAGACCTCGGACATTTAGCGAAGATATAGTAATCATTTTGTTGATTGTAGATGGTTTGAATTCCGTAGCTGTGGTGATTCAGATGCAATGGAGAGAAGTGGTTTTCCGCATGGCGGAGGTGATGGACCGGCAGGTTTGCAGCTTTGTGAGCATGGGTTTGTTATTTTTGTGGATTGGGTGTTCAATTGTGTTGAGGGGGTTGTTGAGAGGGGCCGTTCTAGCGACTGATGACTGGTAGCTTGGGGTATGAACAAGGGTAAAAACAGGGGTAAAAAAGACTTGCAAACAAAGCAAGTAGCACGTGTTGCAGTATCTGGAGCAGTATCTGGAGCATGTGTAGCAGAGAAAGGAGCATGTTCTTAATGGAAATCTCCGTGATAGGTTGGTCAGAAGCAGGATAGGATTCGATTATAGATGGAGCATTTGCAGATAGGATAGTAGTTGAAAGAGAAGGTTGTTGTCTGTCAGGGGGTGATCCTGTGTCCAGTCTGGGCCTGGATTTTGCCAGGCTGCTGGATGTGGGAGACAGGGGGAGAGGACTCACCAGGATCCCCTGGGTATAGCGATCCTTTCAGCCTGGGGTCCGGATGGTATGCTGCCTGGTGGTCTGTGGTCTCCCCTTGCTGCTGTTGCTGGGCAGACAGGCCGTTCTGCAGGGGGCCAGTGCCATCTTGGCTGCAGGGCCCGAGTGCCGGGAAGAAGCTAGTCATTTTTCCGGGATGACCCGGCATTTTCCTCCTGCGTTTCATAGCCCTTTTGGATGGCAAGGGGTTAATGGCTCTAATGAGCTTATTGATTTTCTCTGGGGCCGTAGTGTGCCGATGTCACGCTGGCGGGTGGACGGAGTTCTCTTCAGTGAGCGTCCATCCCCGTAGTCAGCTGCGCATGCGCCTCGAGATATTGCTTTTTATATATTACCAATCTTTCCACATAAATCTTTCCACACCAAGCTCTCCACATAAATAGCCTCAGTGGACAAAGCTTTACTAGCTTTACTATGCTACAAATAGACTTATGTAAACTGGCATTGCCTATAATATTCTATGACAAGTGGTTACATATGTAGGATTCTATTGACTCTTCTTTTGCATATGTGTCTTAGTAAATGTAAAGCATATGTTTACTATGTTCTTATGTTATGCTGGATGTTTTTGGTGTATTGGGAACTTTTAAGTTCCATTTTGGATTCTTTGCGCTGTAAAATAGCATCTCATGGGGTGGAAAAGTGAGTCCATGGCACCAACTGGTGATTGACTATGAGACCACATTTTCTGCTTTGTAATCATAAAAATCAGTTCCTATGCACACTAAAGCGATTAATTGTGGTGCCTTAAAACACGTTATGGCATGTGTTATATAGTTACATAGTTAGTCTGGTCAAAAAAAGACACAAGCCCATTCAACCAACAGCCCAGTTCAACCAACAGAAATGGAAAACAAACACACAATCCTATATACACAATCCTATACCCAGAGTTGGTCTAGAGGAAGGCAAAAAAAAAACCCCAGTAAAGCATGATCCAATTTGTTCCAGCAGAGAAAAAAATTCCTTCCTGATCCCAAGAGTTAATCGGGTATTCCCTGGATCAACTTTACCTATAAATATTAGTATCCAGTTACATTATGTGCATTTAGGAAAGATTCCAGGCCTTTTTAAAGCAATCTATTAAGCTGGCCAGAACCAACTCTTGAGGGAGTCTATTCCACGTTTTCACAGCTCTTACTGTGAAAAAAACCTTTCCATATTTGGAGATTAAATCTCTTTTCCTCCTGACAAAAGACTGCCCCCTTGTCCTCTTTGATGACATTAAAGTGATTGTTGATCATATAAAGTTGATCATGTAACCCCTTAATCTCCTCTTCTCAAGAGAGAATAAATTAAATTCCTCTAATGTGCGTTAACCTCCCTAGCGGTATGATTATTTCAGATTTTTGGTGCTGAAAGCGGTACCATTTTTTTGCATGGAAATATGTATTTTTTTTATTGTAGGCCTGTAATTTAGGAATAACTCACTGAAATCTGTCTGAACAAGAGTCTAGTAAACATTCCGGATATGATAAAACCTGAAACGCAAAATCATAAATTATAATTTAAGAAATAATCATAAAAAATAATAATATAATAAATTTAATTAAATAATATAATCAAACCAAAAACACTGAAATTTGAAATATAGCGCCAAGTTCGCACATCACTGAGCAAAGTCGCAGAATCGTTTTCAGTGTCTGATGAGGAATTTCCCCACAAATCATTATCACTCAATTCTGTAAGTGGTTCTGATTTACTATCGCTGTTCTCTAGCCGGTCTAAAACCGCTTTTGAAATAAAGGGACGCTTTTTGGACGCCATGGACTTTTCTAAGTTTTCAGGCAGAAAGAACAGTCAAAATGCAGGCAGGGGACAGGACAAAGCAGTAGGGACAAAATGTATGTGAAATGTTTTGAAACAGCAATGTTTTACTATGTAATAATCATTTTTAAAAAAATGCCATTTTTAAAAAAAAATTCAAATTTACCGCCGGTTCCGGCGCCCGTATGTCCCGACGTCACAGGGACCGGAACACGGAAGCCGGATGCCGGCATCGGCCGGAGGAGATGGCCGGGGACACTGCAGGGGACGCATCGCAGGAGCGAAGGACAAGGTAAGCGCTGCAGGGACTCCCTATGCAACGCTGCATGGTAATCCCGAGTGTAGCTTGGGGTTACCGCTTTTGGCACTGAAACTTTACCCCGAGCTTCACTCGGGAATACCGCTAGGGAGGTTAATTTAGGTCAGCCCATTTAATTATGAATGGGCTGCCAATGGATGAAAAAACACATATGGACCTTTTTTTGAAATGCAGCGCACCACAATGCATTGTACGTGTCCTGTGATGAGCCACTGTGCGTTGTACATTGCATTGTACTGTACAGTGGGTTGGGGTGCCATTCACAATGAACACAGCACATAGAGCATAATGAGCTTTGCCACAACAAACAAGTGTGAATGGGCTCTAAGGGAGTCTTAATTAAAATTTACTACCATTATATTTTCTGTTAGTAGTAGTACTGTCAGTAACTTGCAGTGATTGAGTGCCCCTCTATCTCAAGCAGGATGAGATAGAGATTTTAAAATGTTGAATCTGAAGCTGTGTTTTGAACTTTAGTTACATAGAAACTACTGTATAAAGTGATACATTTTTGTTAAAAGTCAGTTATTTATATCATTTCATTTATTGCTTTAAAAACTGTTTTATTATTTGTGTATTCATTTAGTTTTGTACTGATACGTGTAATCTGATGATTGTTCTGTTAATTCCTTTTTGTTCATTTAGATGGTCCTTTGGAATTCTTCTTTATGAGATGATAACTTTAGGTAAGTGTTGATATCTGTAAAATAAGGTACATGAGGTGTACTTACAACAATCATGGTGATAGCTATGATGGTAGTTATTATTACCTTCACCAATTTGACCATAAATGCTATCGTATGTGTAAATAATGGAGGAAAAAAGTGTCTGTGATAGCAATCCATTCAAAACATTCAAAATTATTTCTGTAATTTCTGGCACGTCATGGAGTCACTGTGCTACTTATCACTCCAATGAGGAAGCTGGATGTGCGGAGAAGGAATGGGAAGCTGCAACCAGTATACAGGAATTTAAATTACAAGACTGTTAGGTGATACAGAATAACAAAGCTTTTGACAGGTAAATTAGTAACTGGTGCACTTAACTGCCACTTTAATATGACTCACCTTTGCAGCTGTGTATGAAATTATAATTTACTTCCCATTTAACCTTTTTGGTCACGTGGCTTTTATTTTATTTTATCACCCCTTTATTTTTTTATGGTTCAACAAAAGCTATGCTATTTCACCTGTCTACTGGAAGTGGCATAAAATATTGAAAACAATGAATGCAAAAATATAGCCTTTTCAAATTAGAACAATGTAACTCAAAGTAAGTGCATCTACATATATATTTTTATTACTATTATTGTGCTATATCACCAGTTTGAAAGTGCAAACAGTAATGTTCAAAGTGCAGTGCTGTATAATACTCAGAGATTAGGTTTCACTGATATGGCTACCATATATCTGGTTGCTGTGGTTACCTAACTTTGTACATCACCTTTGGTCTTTTCCCTGCTTCATCAAAGGTAAAGTCTATGAAAAAGATGAAAATGCATCAATTAAATAAATGTATGTGACTCACTGAATCACTTGACTTCTTTAAGAAGCTAAAACCATAATGTGGGAATCTTTGTTTTCCCAGCTCAGCTAGTAGACTGGGTTGGGACTTTCTGCTGCACTTTCAGTCTGTTACATAATTTCTCCCTTGTACTCTGTACTTGTATGTACTCTAAAAATTGAGAATAAAGTGTTCAGTTACATCCAGGGGCGGACTGACCATTTGGAAACTCGGGCACCGCCCAAGGGCCCGAGGTCAGTAGAGGCCCCATGAGATGCCCCTGGTACCTTTTTCATAGCCTTTTTTGAGTTTGGGCAAGGAAACAAGGGCCCCATGATCCCCTATTGCCCGGGGGCCCCATAAGCTGTCAGTCCGCCCCTGGTTACATCCTACATGAGACGTAATTGTTCATGATGCTGCCAGGACTCCATTTACAAGAGAACACCCATGCACACCAATATGATATATATAAGGGTTTCTAAAACAAGCAGTCCAAGGAACTGCAGTGAAATCACAAGCAGAGGCTGTTTGCTTGCATGTAATTCAGTCCCACAGATTGGCATTTTTGCATAATGAAGGTGATTAAAGGATAGGTGTACTTTTAGCTCACTTATGCTTCATTATCCACCTCCCCTCTACCCATGGTTTTAGCATTTAATATACTCACCCCAGAAAATCATTGTCTTCAGAATGCCCACTGCTCAATGGGGCCAAATTTAAAGCAGTAGTAAAGTCTGCTTTTTTACATGTACCTAGATAAGCCTTACCTGTAGATACAGTGAATGTCTCCTAAATGTGCCCCGTTTGGGAGATATTTCCATTTGTAGCAGCCGCTGATGTCATTGGGGCATGCATACTGAGCTCTGAATGGATGGCACACTGAGTTTGCTGCCCATTCAGAGCACTGTGCCACTATCATTACTCCTGTGCGCATATGTGAGAGTGACTTCATGGCGGCTCAGCCAATCAAACAGCTGGAGCCCGGAAGATAGACCAGGTAAAGATGGAAGCCCTGGCATGCTGTTGGAGGTATCCGTTTTACAGGCTTGTCATAACGAGTCATAATGTGTTAGTATGCGCTGCATACTAGCACATTATTACATTAACCCGCAGGAGACCAAATATATATATGTATGTGTGTGTGTGTATATATATATATATATTCTTTTTTTTTTTAAGCAAACTTTACTCCTGCTTTGATAGAGTCATATTATGTTTTTGGACATTGGACACCACCCAGCATTCAAACTCACTAGTGCACCAAGATGGGTTTCCCCAACAACACCTCTTCTCATACCCAATGGAACTGATTTACTAGATCATATGCAAAATACATTTTTACTTTGCAGAGTGAAATTTTACTTTACTAGGTGAATGAGGTGAACTAAGTGAAAAGTCAAAATATCCAATCATATGCAAGGAAAAAAAATGGATTTTTGAACAACTTCACCTCATTCACTAAACTAAGTGAAAACTCACTCATCAAAGTGGAAATTCACTTAGGTTAGTAAATGAGGTGACAATTTTCTGACTTCTATTCTATCCTCAGTCATTTGTAAACAAAGATCTTTTTTTTTTTCTTTTTTTTTCATTTTATGTGCACGTTCATTTTATTATGATTGAGCGTTCTTTCCAGGTTAATGTTTACTTTGTTTCACCTTATTTACTAGGATACATGAAAATTCCTTTTGCAAAGTTAAAATTCACTTTAAAGGAAAACATGTTTTACTTTTTTAGTGACCCCCCCCTGGGGCACTGTATGAAAATTTATTTCAATTTACTAAGGGTCGATATGAATCCCACAAACAGTTACCTAGTGGTTGAAGAGTTATTAGTTTTAAATAAAAAGGTAATTTAAATTCATGTACCTTAGAAAATGCTATGTTTATTACAGAGATGGTTAACCTATCTCAGCATACATTTTCATTTTATAACATCACCATTGTAATAGTAATACAAACGACAGTTGCTTTTGACAATCCAATATAAGTTTTGTAAAAAAATCCGCTTTCATGTTGTGAGTTCTCCCTGTCTGCTCACCATCTCTTTCCACAACTTCCTGGATTCCCTGCATGCTTTGCAACATCTCCTCTGCTGTCTACATTCATTTTCTAAGGACTACATATCCCATGACACCTTGTTGCCTGCAAGTAGTGATTCCTGTACTGAATAGACCTCCTGAAACTCCTCCTCTCAGCACCTCTTTGGTTCAGAAGCCAGGTTCTGTGAAATGTGTGACACAGCAATGCCTACTCACAGGACATAGTGAATACATGTCACAGAATTCAAGGAAGGTAATGTGTGGGTATCTTCACAAAGTAAGTTTATAAATGTCCAGATCATTCAGATTAATAGGAGTAGGCTAAAAATAATTGAAAACTAAAGTGGGAATGAATATGACTTTACATTTTGACCACAGGTCTGCTTTAATCATATCTTCTCACTCTTAATTTTCAGGTGCTCCTCCATTCCCAGAGGTTCCTCCATCAGGCATCTTGCAACATTTGCAGCGTGGTAACATCATGAAGAGGCCTTCCAGCTGTAAACAGATTTTGTAAGGGACTAATATATTCATTGCTTTCAAATACATTTTTTATGGTAATGTCTTTTATTAGTCAAAAAATGTCAGGAAATGCGCTGGTGTTTACCGCCATGACCAATTAGATGTTAGCTTTAATTTTCTAATTTGAGCTAGAGCAGGGGTCTCCAAACTTTCTAAACAAGGGGTCAGTTTACTGTTCTTCAGACTTTAGGAGGGCCGGAGTGGCCAATGGGAGTAGAAAACTTCCCACGTCAGTAGGAGTAAATAAAAAGACATAGTGCTTGTAGTCAGTGGAAGGTGGGGAACAGGAGGAATAGTGTGCAGTCATTGGTATTAGTGGGAGGAACAATGACCCATCATTGGTATTAGTGGGAGGAATAGTGTGCTATCATTGGTATTAGTAGGAGTAATAATGCCCCATAATTGGTATTAGTGGGAGGAATAGTGCCCCATCATTGGTGACAGTGGGAGAAATAGTGCCCCATCATTGGTGACAGTGGGAGGAATGGTGCCCCATCATTGGTGACAGTGGGAGAAATAGTGCCCCATCATTGGTGACAGTGGGAGAAACAGTTCCCCATCATTGGTGACAGTGGGAGGAATGGTGCCCCATCATTGGTAACAGTGGGAGGAATGGTGCCCCATCATTGGTGACAGTGGGAGAAATAGTTCCCCATCATTGGTGACAGTGGGAGGAATGGTGCCCCATCATTGGTGACAGTGGGAGGAATGGTGCCCCATCATTGGTCACAGTGGGAGAAATAGTGCCCCATCATTGGTCACAGTGGGAGGAATGGTGCCCCATCATTGGTGACAGTGGGAGGAATGGTGCCCCATCACTGGTGACAGTGGGAGGAATGGTGCCCCATCATTGGTATCAGTGGGAGAAATAGTGCCCCATCACTGGTGACAGTGGGAGGAATAGCACCCTATCCTTGGTGACAGTGGGAGGAATAGCACCCTATCCTTGGTGACAGTGGGAAGAATAGCACCCTATCCTTGGTGACAGTGGGCGGAATAGCACCCCATCATTGGTGACGGTGGGAGGAATGGTGCCCCATCATTGTTATCAGAAGGAAAAATGCCCCATAGTTGGTGCCAGTGGAAGAAATGGTACCTCCTTGTTGGTGTCAGTGGGAGGAATACTACCCTGAGGGCTGGACAGAGGCAGGCAAAGGGCAGCAGTTTGGAGAACACTGAGCTAGAGGAATGACTGCTGTGGTCTGATTGGTTCAATGATTTTAGGACATCTGATACGCATTCTTTGTTTAATGATGTCTTTGTGTAATCATTTGTTTTGCAGATACAACATTATGAAATCTTGTTGGGAATGGAAGGTATCTGTCAGAATTTCTCTTTCTGAATTGCGTAAGCGCCTGGAAAATGGGAAGAAAACTGCAAATGACAGGACAGTGCTACAGGTTCCAGAGCTTGTGGTACCTGAGCTGTATGAAGGTGTAGCTGGGACAGAGCCTATCAAAATGGAGACCGATTACACTGTTCTTTAACAGCGACTTCTTCAAAGACTTACTTGGCTGGTTACAAAATGACTTGAAATTATTTATTTATGTGAACTATAATTTTTTCTTTCTTTCTTTTTTTATATATGAAGGAATATTTTTGTGTACTTAATATGAAAATATAAAATGAACTCTGACCTAATCATGGGGATGTTACATTAACATTTCTGATCCTATCCCAGTGGTCCCTGGACAGTAGGAAAAGATCATCTTCCTTTCCGACAACTCTCTGTCACCAGTAACCAGTGATTGGAGGATACTTATACACCTATGCTCTGCTGTCACATTTCTCAGTGATTTTTCTCATCTCTGTTTACAAAAATGTTATATTTTTTTATAAGTTTGGGGTGTGTTGTTGGAAATGCTTCAAATTTAAAGCGAACCTATACATAGAGTTTATAAACCAAAGGAAAATATGTCTGGGCTGTAAAGGTATATACTAGATGTGCCTGCATTACAATTCTGATTCTGTTTTAGAACTGTGGAAAGCTTTGCTTTATAGAACTATAGACAAACCCTTTTTTTCATTTTGGATAGAGTAAAGGAGTTTTATGACCCCTGAAAGGTTTATCTTGCCATCTTTGTCCCACTGGGGAGATTTCCCTTCACTTCCTGTCCCATAACCAAACCAGGAAGTGAGAGGAAATCCCTACAAATAAAGGGAATTTCTTGAGGACCTCCAGGTCTCCGTAACTAATGTCCCCATTGGAAATTTGGGTTTGGTTTTACTTTCACTTTCAATGATAATGGTAAACAGGACAAATAGAGAGGGTGAATCTCCCTAATGGGGACACAGACAGCAATAAAAACTGACAGGTGTTCTAATTCCTCTCCACTCTATGCAAAATTAAAAAAAAAAAAGTTTTGCCTTTAGCTATCATTTTTAACTTTTAAAATCAACTGCAATAGTTTTGTGTGTTTCGCACAATTAAGAGAAGGTAGACCCTGATCCTTCACTGTAGCAACATAGAAGCACCCCTCTCATGCTTCTGGCTGGGGTAAAACTTTTTCTCCGACAACAGCTCATCTAATTATGTATACTGTCCTGTGGACCATTTTATGTACTGGACTTTGTTTTTAGTGGCTATGTACCAGTTGCCTGGCTGTCATTGGCTTCACTACTGTCGTTGTTATGGGCCCAAAACAAGCACTAAGGTAGACGAGTCAGAGAACAGTTGGCACAGCTAGGTGGGTGACATATATATATATATATATATATATATATATATATATATATATATATTGAAGCCATTGATGGAGCATGGCAGACCAGCAAGTAATGCACGATCTCCTGTGTTTTATCTCTGCGCATGCTGCAAGCACAGAATAATAAATGTGGATGTGCCAGATAATCCATACGCATGCGGTGTCAGCCCTGCCTACTTAGGATTAGAAATGACACAGGCCTTTCCTTGTCTCCTTATCTCCTTACCCCCCCCCCCCCCCCCATCTCCGTAGCTCTTCCTCATATTCATAACCCTCATTGAGAACAAGAAGTTATCTGCTCACAATTTCTGGTAAAATAAATAGGTAGTTATTGAACAAATATAGCAAAACATTGTTAATAGTATATTCAGCAAACCAAAATGGGACTAATAAGAGAAGTTAATTGTTAGGGTTTACATACACTTTAATACAGATTTCCTTTAATGATAGCAATGGATAAGTCTGGTTTGGTTCAGTTACTGTACTTTTGAATTGGGGGTCCACTGTTCTGGCAATTCTGTAACTATATATATCTATGTAGGATTTTTTTGTGTTTTTAGTTTTTTTTACAATATGGAGTCTAGAAGCTATTGACCATTTGTTTTTAATCCCTTAACACTGGCTGTACACATATGTCCCAGCACGACAGTAGACTTTAAAGCCAGCCTGACACATTTATGCATACAGCCTGCAGCACTTTTTTTGTGTTAGCATCCCTAGCACTGTAACCATGCTGTCACCTGCTGTCACAGATCCTGGTCACATTTTACAATCAGAAGTCGAGGGAGGGGCATCTGATCACATGATCACTGTGACTGCCAGACACATGGCTGGGAAATCCATGTACTGTAACTCCCATTTCTGCCAGCTGGAAAAGGTTAATTTAAATACCTTCAAATGAGCTCTTTGTTCCATACACTTATGAAAATTTACAGTTGGATGTTTTCTATACCTTTATTAGGCACCATTATAAATCACTTTATAAATCTGTATAGAAAGCATAGAATATAGGTCAGTTTTTTTCTTGGTTTGACTTCTGTTTCCGTTTTAAATCAGACTTTGATATAGACATTCAAAAAAATTACATATATTAAACAAGCAATACATGAGTCTTTAGTAAACCTCTGTAGCTGCAGGAACTGTGGGGCAATTCATCTTCAAATTATATAACAGAGGCAGTGAAATGGGTAGCTTTTCTCCCTTTGTTTGTTCTGGCAGCAAGGATCTTGCAGCCTGATCCATTCTAATGTAAACAAACACCAGGTGTTCTTAGCTATTAAATCAACTTAAAATCCCCATATGCACACAGCCAGTTAGGGTACTACATTGCCCAGATTAGCATATTTGCTGTAGTCAGCCATGGACAGTGTCAGCTTGTCAATGATTATTACATACTTCCTGTGTACCCACTGCAGAAATGCACTGATATGGGTGGTGTATGGCCCTAATAAGCCATATGCATAGCCCTTAGAATGAATTAAAATCCACAGTGCACGCAGCTACATAGGTAAGTAAAGGCTTGTTTTAAGGCTCAACTGATGTTTGTTAAGAATATGTAAGTAAATGTCCATGGCCTGGCAACGTGTTTATTTTAAACCCCAGCCCTCATTTTTTGGCCTGACATAAATGATGATCTTATCTCTATAGGTCCTCCCAGATGCTGCTGTCTGGCCACTGTCATGGTTGGGGGGGGGGGGGGGGGGGGGGGTGTAACCATTGTTCAAAAAGGTTAGAAATCCTATTCTATTTTCTATTGCTGGCAACAGCCTTTGGCATTGCTCATTTGCTCAGCCTTCCTTGTGAGTTAGGCTGCCCTGAGGGTATTGGGGTCTTGCCTGAACCTCCAACCTTCTGCACATGGGTAATTTTTCTTGGATTGGCTGTATCTGCAAGATCACATCAGTAAAGTGGGGCAAATACTGTATATTTACACTTTAAATCCAGTCATGTATAACTGATGGATGAAGTGACATTTATTATTCAATACCTTATAAAACTGAGAGGGGGTATTCTGGATTTTCATCAAAATTCAGACACTTCTTTGCCCTGCCCCCCTTACATCCTTTAGAATAACTTTTCTGGTACTGTTGTTTATATTGTATTCTCTATCATAGAGCCGGAACTGCAGGAAATTGTGCCCACACTGCTAGAGTTAACTTCTTGGTTAGGTCTAGGGGCATGGAAAAGTAGATTTACTTGTCTGATCTTCTGCCCCTCTGAGCTGTGAGACCAGTCCCCCACAGGTCTTTTCCCCATGTCTCGGGGGTCTAAGGTAGTGGTGTTGTTAAGACCGGTGCAAAGTAGATAGACCTGCATTGGATGTGAGGATGTGAGGATGCCGAGGAACAGTCCACGACCAGAGCATTCAGGAGTACCCTCAGATGGAAGAGCAGAGGATCAGGTATGTAAAATCACTTTTACTCTCCCGTAGACTAAATGAGCAGTTAACCCTTGCAGTGCAAGCACAACCTACTGCAAGGGAGAATTTTTTCATTTTCCAGGCGTTGGGGGTCTGCAATTACAGATTTCACCAGCAGGTGGCACTACAGACAAAAGATGTGAATGAGAGGAGGAGCTCTTCAACATGGACATGTCCAAAATTGTGTCCAAATGTAAGGAAAGTTGCAGTCATTGAAATATTTGTACTGATAATGGATGCCTAATGACGTTACAATAAGAACCTAGAAAATATATATGCAAACATATTGTCAGCTACGGAAGAGACCACAAACTTTGGCACCTTAATCTCAGGCTGCTTAAATATTTTAAAAACACTGAATGTTGCATATGTTTTGTTTATGTTCAAATATGTTATATTTAATAAAATATTTTGTTTGCTTATTCATGTATTTTTTAATGTTTTCATTAATCATGATAACATTTAAGATTATACATAGCACACGCAGGTCCAGGTTTAAGGCAGCAGGGATTCTATAAGTAGAGTCTCTGTTAAGGAATGCTATAGTCCTTTTTAGTGTACCTCCTCAGACCTCGGATAAATCCTCCTCTCCAGCCAGCTGTACTGAGGGTATCCCTGAGCAAGGGGGTCCCAAGAGCTTGAAATTATCAGTCCAGGATGAAGACTAGTTGGGTATTGCACCTGACCACCCTCTCCCCTTATCTGGCCCAGGGGGTATAGCCACTCTGTCCTTTTCTGCTTGCATGGTGGGTTGGTGGCTGCCTTCAGGCCTTATGCTGGGCTGGCTCCTTCCCTGCTTCACAGGCTGTGCTCCAAAGGAGACTGTGAGGGGAGTGACTTTGGGGTGGGGGGACCCCTGTTGTTCCTCTTGTGTGTAGCCCACCCTGTGCCTGTTAGGGGTACAGGGTGGTCTGTCCTGATATTGTGTAAACATGTATAGGTGGGGTGTGTTCATTGTTTACTGCCATGTGGTCCCATTGTTCTATTATGTGTTTTGTGTATTGACTTGGTGGGGGGTGTTTCCAGGAGCCCTCCTGATGGGACTGTCTGTTGGGATGTGTCTCTGATTGCTAAATTTGGTTTGCCCGCCCTGTGTCCTTATGCAGGGAGGTGGGATGTTCCCTTGAATGTTTATATCTTGTGTCTGCGGTAAAATAAAACAGTTGACTTCCTGTCTTAAGAAGAGTCTGGTGCTGTCTATTTCCTGCATGGTCAGCAGCGGTGGTGTACGTGGATTTGTGGTCGGACAGGGAAGTTGGAGTCTAACGAAAATACCCAAGTGTGGTCTGGGTCCAGTTTCGTTACAGAGATGATGGGGCAGAGGAGATCCTCCCTTCCAGAATCCTGCCTGCAGCTGGGCTCTCCTCCCTGGGGGCCCCCTCCCAGACTCCTCACTCCAGCCTTCCTCTCAGTCATCCTCCACGTGACACTGCACACCTCTTCCCAGGCTCAGCCATGTTTGAGGGTTGCCCTAGTCACCATGCCCAGCCTCCTGCCAGGGGATTGGCCAAGGTCCCTCAAACATGCAGATCTGGACCTCCTCCCCTCCTCTATCCCTGTTCCAGAAAGCTCTCCTGTTTCTTGAAATGTGGGAGGGTTCCAGAAGCCCTGAGCTGTAAGAGCCTCCCAGCCTGTTCTGAGGTGAACCCCTGCCTCACTCTCAGGCTGACTCATCCCAGGCTGCTATTCAGCCTCTATCTAACAAAACAACAGACCTCCCTAACATTGAGGGAGTTACATCTGCTATCAGCTGGTAGCAGGCCCACAGTTCACAGTGTATCTAAACCTAAGATCAAAAATGTGATACAGTCTTACCAGTCCTTAAAGTGTTACTAAACCCACAACAGTAAAATCAGTCTATATATGCAGTAAAGCATGCTTGATATACTCACTGTGGAACCTAAGGGGTGTATCCTCTGTATTGTGTAAAAAGGCTGTTTGATCCTGACTTCTCTGATCCTCCCCTTCTTCCAGTGTCCCCCTCTTATCTCTTGATAAGTCATATTGTGTGGAGACACTCTGCACATGCTCAGTTTGGTGTGTATTGCTAGAGAGTTTTTTTTTTTCTTGGGAGAGTGCATGTGATCAGCACAGGGCCAATCAGCACTGTGCAGACAGAGGTCAGGGCTTCTGCATCCTCCTAGAGCAAAATGAAAACTCCTCCTACAAGCTTTAACCAGTGCTCTGCTGATCACTGATAGAAGTCACAAGACTGCTCTAACTGCTGATGAGAAAATTTATATAACAGTTTATATTTACTAAAATAATTGCATTTCCATGTTGTGTGTACTGTGGGAGAGACCAGATATAGTGAATGCAGGGTCCTGGGTGTAGTAACACTTTAATTCTGACGGTTGCATTAGTTTTAATTTTTTCCTTTTTTCACCTGGTGATCCTCCCAGTAACACACTCCCTGTCCTACAGTGACAACACTCACCTTCTGTACTTCTTCTGTGGATGAATAATTATCTTCCTAGGAGAGGACATGTATCTGACCACAGAATACCTCTCACACCTTTCACTCATCACCAGTGGGAAGGTGTTCTGTCCACAGAAGTGAATCAGGTAGGGCTGATAACGCTGCTTAAAATAGTATTGAAACCTCAGCATTTTTAAGCACGACACATTGAGCACATCAAAATAAACATTCCTCAGGAAATTATATGTTACAATTCTTACCCCTTACTACTTTTTACAATTTTAGTGTTGCTGGCTCCTGCTGTTTCAGTGCTGCTTCCCTGAACTTCCAGTCTTTACAGGAACAATATAATAGTGAAAAGTGCAGCCTCCAGTCAGGGGGTGAGTGGATATATAGGACGTTACAAGAGAAAGGAGCCACCATGAAACAGGTCACATACTGTATTTGGACTCCCCTTTTGAATTTTTTCTGTTCGCTATTTTATTCTCCCTCTACTGACATGGGAGTCCCAAAGCACAGTGCTATATTTTACACATTTGCTGTGTATTGTATTTTTAAAGCAGTGGCATATACAGTATGTCATGAGACCGTACCACTGCTTTTTTTTAAATGCCCCCCCCCCCCCCCCATTTCTATATCTATCTGCAATGGGAACTGGAACAATTCTAAATATATATTTGGTATAGTGCTCCAGATTCTGGAAAGATCCTTATCCTGAAATCTACGTTTCCTATGCATGCTGGGTAATAGATGTCAGTCCCTGTCGAGTATATCTTTGCTATTTTCTCTATGTTAAGTATTTATTTTTCTGGCAGGTTTCAGTTATACCACCTTCTAGTCGCTAATTAACTTGTTACTGTGCTAGTTCTAGGATCATTAGTCAACAGGAATCCATAAAAAAGATTTATATGACAGCCCACATTTAACTCTAACTCACATTGCAGTGGAGGGCACATAAGTCCGAGGAATGTACATATATTTGCAAAGGTCTATCTGTTTAAAAAATTATAATTTTATACAACACTGACATTTTAATATTAATTTGGTTATTGGAGCATACTACTATACTTGTTATATTAGTTCTTTTTCCAGAAACAGAAATGATGGGTGAGCACTTTCTCAGTATTATAACTTACTAATAATAACTTGTTGGAAGTATCAGTTTCTTTTTTGCTCTTACTAGCAGGTACTCCAGCCGCTGGAGGTTATATAAGCAGGGCAGAAATATGGAGCTCCACACAACAGGGATAGGTTTGCAATTATTCTAATGTTTACTTTATGTTTTATATACTTAATCAATCCTGATTACTTGAAGCAGTTAGTTTGGGTGTGAGTTTACACAGGACTTAATAGCACTCAAAAATGACACTACCATTGCTCAATAAATCATGTCCGGAATTTTAGAACTTAGCATAAAGCTGAATTTCAACCTGCCTATATTTAGCATTCCCTGGTTACTCTCCTCTCCCTAATCAACATGCTAATCTTTCCATTTTCATTGCATTGCTTATTTTAGACCCAGTGACATAATCACTGAGTCTTTGTGCTTTGCTATGCAATGCTGGCAGATCATGGCTGGTAGGAGGAGCTTGCAGGGTGCTAGGCATAGCTCCCTGAATGCACCAGAGCATCCTGCCCCATCACACCTCTCAAGAGCCCTCAGCCATGATGCAAGCTGTGGGCTGGTTCTCGAGGAGTTCTACCAATATCTAAATGCTTTGATAGGTGGATGTCAGTGTGGAGGAGTGCGCATTTCCAATCAGACTGCATTTTCATGCAAACCAATCTAGGTAACACTAACAGGTGATGCTGAGCCTTCATGATTGAAAAAAAATTTTTTATGAATGAAACAGGCAAGCTAGGGACAATGTCGCTGCTTTTAAGATGTCTGGTGGAGATCTATTTCATTTGGCTTATTTACCAATATGCCGCAAAATTTTGTAATTTTGTAATTTTGTATCATGTCTTAATAAAAAATCACGTTTTTAGTCGCACTGCTTGGATTGTTTGAAGCACCTTCTTTTTCCTATGGGTCTTTTCCTAGGTTTCTATATTCATGTCCTTGTTTGGTTACACTGATCCAAACCATAAATTTGGTGAGCTAGTGGACTACTTAATATCATTTATCAAGAAGAGGCGAGTGAGTGACAGGATATATAAATCACACCACATCCCTGGAATTTTAAAAGGTTGAACTAGATAGTGTGGGATTTTCAGGGTGCAAGATTGCAATGATAAAGAGATTTAAAAACCACAATAAATTGTATTTAATCTCACAAAAAGAAGGTAAAAAAAAGTAAATAATTACAATACTGTAAAAAAAAAAATTGAAGCTTGTCTCTATTGTTGCAGTAATTCGTACATGTTTCGCCCAACAAGGGCTTCTTCAGGGAGAGAGAAAAAAGCTTCAACTGCAATACAGTCTACAATACATCAAAAAAAAATATACATAAACAACGGAGTTATGACATACATCCACACAATAAACACAATAATCAAAAATAGAAAAGAAGGCTCACTTAATATCATTGTTTGCCTCTATTTATAGTGTTGCTGTCGTAGTGACATTTTATATTTTTTTTTAGGTTCATTAGGAGTAATTTGTTTTACTTAAATTAGCAGCCTCATTCCCTCCATCCAATCTCACAAGTTTAGGATGCTGGTGCTCAGACTGCTGCAATGAAGAACAAAAATGTCGGGCTTCCCCAGCCTTTTGATGAATGAACTTTCATAGCTATCCGCCCACTTCTGATCTGGGTCCCTGAGAGCAGGAGCTGTTGTTTTTTGTTTTCACTGCTCAGGCTGCTGTCCCTGTCAGCCATCCACTAGCAATTCCATGCAAAAAGGTCGGCACCACAGCATGATCTTCCAAACTTTATAGCAATTTATAAGCACGTCAGGTTAAAATCCAACACAACTGACCCACTTATGCGTTTCAGCTACACTGGCCTTTGTCGTAACTGACTGATAAATAAATTGTTATAATTTTGAAAGCTCCTGCTATGGTGCAGACTTTTTTGCGTGGAAGAGTAATTTGTTTTCTTGAAGTTAAAGCTAAACTCCAGACAGGTAACAACTCACATATTAAAACAGCTCAGTAACCATCAATTAATTATTAATTACATATTATAAATGTAAGCATTGTAAGTACCTACATTTTCTTTGGTATCAGCCATTTGCAATCTACTATACAGCAAAGCTTAAACAGGGTGAGGGAGAAGCAGCACAAAGGGCCAATCAGGTGTGAGCAGTGGTCAGCCCACGTTGATAGAAGGACAGAGCTTCACTGCCAGTCACAGGATGGGGGTGGGAAGAAGACCTGTAAGTGAATGTGAAGTTTCAGTAGCAAAAGCTAAGTTTTCCTGCCCTGTCAGACTTGGATGTGGTATGTAGAGCTGTGTAAATTGCAGGACTCAATAGAATGAGATACTAATCTCATGGCAGGCAACATTTCTTGTAATTTTATGCTTTTATATATTTCTGATTATGGCAAATGTTAGGGTTTAGTAAAGGGGCTTTTTTGGGGTACCCTAAGGCTTGTGTTCACATATGTGCAAGTGTTGCTGCACTGCGGATCCGTACGGAAATCCGTGCACCACGCACATAGAGGAATGCGGACCCGCAAGCGGGTGCCAATAGTTCTAATGGCACGCCGCCCAAACTGGAAAACGCAACTGTACTGGGAACCGAGGTTCCCATGCGGGCTGCGTTTTCAGAAGAAGTGCAGGGTCGTGGGGCACAGGAGTCCATTCAAAAAAATGGGCTCTCGTACCCATGCAAAACGTGGCCCACACAGCCTCATATATGTGAACTGAGGGTAAGGGTAAAATTAGAAGTTGGGTGACATTCGGATTACTTAGTAACTAAATAACTATATACACTGTACATGCATCACAAGTCTAGGTACTGTTAAAATAAACATAAATGTTACACTAAGCAACCAGTCAGCTTCTACATGAACATTTTTAAAGTATAGATTCAAAATGTAAAAAAAAACCTTGAATATTACATTTTTTATACATTATTAAGCTGCCATCCAGTCATGAAAAGACAAAATAAAATAATCATGCAACCAAAGCAATGGATTGATTCCCATGTGGATTAAAATAGATTTGTCCTATACATTTAATTGGCTCTTGAACTAATGCATGTATCTTAGAAAGGCAACATATTCTTTAGTACTTAGCAGCTTTTAAATGTGCCATTTAGTTAAGGTATGGCTATTCCAGATGTCAATTAAGGAAGGACTCAAGATTCATAAGGACTAATGAAAACAATAGAGCCGTGAGAGGCATTAAAAGTTGTCAGTAGCATGAAACCATGTGTGTATTTTACATTCTGCCTGGAAATGAAGTGAATTAATTAGGGAGGGCCACCAAGTGAACAAGGAGGGATTTTCATGACCATGACGTTTGTGGTCTGTTATTCCTTCTGGGACATTCTGTTGGACTGTCATTGTATCAGTCTCTGCTCATTATCACTAAACTTTTTTTCAAAATTTTTTCCTCTGCATATCACATTTATCTGAACTTCTATTTTTTATATTAACTATTTATTTTTTTTAACACGTTTGTTCTTTATAAAGTTTCTGGTTTGATCTCGTGTGTCACCATGTCACATATGGCAACTGAAATTATAGCATTTGCGCTCTCAGTGTCAGGA